CCCTGCCCCCTGCCCTCCTCCCCGCCTGTCCTGGGCCTCCACAAGGACCCCGGCAACACCAGACAAATCCTCTCAACTACTATATATTTGAGAAAGAGTTTGTCTGTGTGCCTATCTTTCCACCAGCTGCGGGACATGTACCATTCCCTGGCTATGCCTGCTCCAGCAGCCATGGACAGGCGCTTCTCACCAAGCTGCTGCAGTAAAAAAGCCATCCTCTCATCCTGGGGAAATCTGCATACTGAACCCCTCATCCAGCCCCACTTCAGAGAAATGATTTAAATGAAGAAAAGCAAAAATTATTTGAGTTAAGGACCTGAGCCAGAGGGTAAATCATTTAATACATAATAATTACAATATACAACACCAGAGTCCCAATCCTGCACAGACTTACACACTTATTTAACTTAATTATGTGAGTTGCCCCATTAACTTAAGCACACTTATAATTGCAAGACCATGGGCCTAATCAAGGCTTAGCTGGGAAACCCACTTATCCAAGTTGGCCCCTCTGGAACCTATTTACATCTAATGATACTAAACAATGACAGTTACAATATACAACACCAGAGTCCCAATCCTGCACAGACTTACACACTTATTTAACTTAATTATGTGAGTTGCCCCATTAACTTAAGCACACTTATAATTGCAAGACCATGGGCCTAATCAAGGCTTAGCTGGGAAACCCACTTATCCAAGTTGGCCCCTCTGGAACCTATTTACATCTAATGATACTAAACAATGACAGTTGCTTAATTGAAGCAAAATACAGGACTATGTAGCACTTTAAAGACTAACATGATGAGCTTTCGTGGGCCAGACCCACTTCCTCAGATCAAATAGTGGAAGAAAATAGTCACAACCATATATACCAAAGGATACAATTTTTAAAAAATGAACACATATGAAAAGGACAAATCAAATTTCAGAACCGAAGGGGAATGCGGGGGGAGGGGGAGAAAGGTAGATGTCTGTGAGCTAATGATATTAGAGGTGATAATTGGGGAAGCTATCTTTGTAATGGGTAAGATAACTAGATTGTTTGTTGAGACCGAGGCGTAAAGTGTTGAATTTTAGCATGAATGACAGTTCAGAGGATTAAACATATAGGGTATGTCTACACTACCACCCTAGTTCGAACTAGGGTGGTAATGTAGGCATACCGCACTTGCAAATGAAGCCCGGGATTTGAATTTTGATTAAGTCGTTGAAACAATGTCCTTTCTGGTTGAAATGGCAAGAAACTGTTTTTTCTTTGTGATCCTGTCTAATATCTGTTTTGTGGGCTACATTTCTATCACCGTTGCTTAACTGGTATACCTTCAGGTGATTTAATGGAATTTAAGCCGTTCTGTGTTTCATTCATATTGGAACTCACTTCTGATCCCATAAAAGAACGGCTTTTTTTATGCAATTTATAGAGTCGGGGTTAGATCACAAAACTAAGAGCTAAAATGCTTGCATAGATTTCTGTAATCCTCTTGTAACTATTTGAGCCATCTACTCACTGTTTTTTTCCCTCCTCACCTCCATTTTTCCTCTTTTTTCCCCTACTTCCCCTTTCCCCCCCTTTTTTATTCTTGGATTTGGACTTCTAATACTCCAGTCTTCTGAAGAAGTGAGTTGTGTCCATGAAAAATGATACTTTCTACATTTTGTTAGTCTTTAAGGTGCTACTAGACCATTTGTTGTTTAAGTTTTTCCTGTTACAGACTAACTCAGCTACCCCTCTAAAGCTGTAATTACATTGTTATTCATATGGATTTTGTTTAGAGGAACAGCAAAAGAGGTGAGCAAATTCCTCATAAAGCAAACCATTCAAAATCCATCAGCAGCCACAGTGAGGATAACACCTATAGTACTAGAGACATGAATTAACAGTTAAAATGTTAATCAGTTAAATGCTAAGCTTAATCAGTTAACCCTGGAGCAGCCCCTTCCCTGCCCACAGGATGATAGGCCACAGTTAGGGGAGAGACTACTTCACCCTTAGCCCAGGCCTCAGGAGGCAGGAGCTGCTCCGGCCCCATTTCCATTATGGCCTCTGTAGGTGGGGCTGCTCCAGCCCCAGCCAAGATCTAATTAGTCATGATGGTTAACCCGTTACATAGTAAGAATGCTGATAAGCTGCCTGATTACCGGGTAACCTTTTGCATTCCTACATAGTACTACTTATTTTGGTATTAGTGAGCACCATTCTCCTGGAAATCAGAAACAGCAGGGCTGTGTCTAGATTGGCCAGTTTTTCTGGAAAATCAGCCACTTTTCCAGAAAAACTTGCCAGCTGTCTACACTGGCTGCTTGAATTTCCGCAAAAGCACTGACTTCCTACTGTAAGAAATCAGTGCTTTTTGCGGAAATACTATGCTGTTCCCGTTCGGGCAAAAGTCCCTTTTGCGCAAAAGTTTTGTGCAAAAGAGCCAGTGTAGACAACTGAGATTTGTTTTGCGCAAAAAAGGCCCGATCGCGAAAATGGCGATCAGGGCTTTTTGGCACAAAAGCGCGTCTAGATTGGCCACGGATGCTTTTCTGCAAAAAGTGCTTTTGCGGAAAAGCGCCCGAGCCAATCTAGACACTCTTTTCCGAAAATGCTTTTAATGGAAAACTTTTCAGTTAAAAGCATTTCCGGAAAATCATGCCAGTCTAGACATAGCCCAGGTGTTATTACTCCTATTTAACAGATAGTGAACTCTCCATCCCTAGAGATTTTTAAATCCTGGCTTGACAAATCCCTGGCTGGGGTGATCTAGTTGGGGTTGGTCCTGCTTTGGGCAGGGGGTTGAACTCGATGGCCTCCTGAGCTGAGCCACAAAGAGGATAAGTGACGTTCCCAAGATCACTCAGCAAATCAATGGAAGACCTGCTCTAACCACTAGACAATGCTACTTCTTTTAGTAGGATTAAGAAAACAAAGTAAACAAACCACAGTTTTCACCTGATGCGGAGTTCTTTTAACCTCCCACCGCGGTTCCAAGTGTATGTAACCCGATACGGAGCCTGATGACTCCCATTCCAAGACGGAGTTCCACCAGGCTGGGGAGTAACCAATCGTCCAAACACACGGACTTTGGGAGTATGCAATTTCTGGGCTGCATTTGTCTTGAAAGATCTTAAACGTAAAAGGAAAAAGAAAAAGAAATGTCACTTGTAAGATCAGATTCACTATTAGCAGATGGTAGTGTGTCTATGAGACGTCAACCATACTACAATATCACACTAACATCACATATAAAGTTAATACTTGCAGACAGGGCTCGCCAAGCGGTGGCAAGCCCCACTCGCCAGCCGCACGGAATCGCACACTGCGCATGCGCAGACCGCGCTGCACGGTCACACAGAGCTAAAATCTAGTCACCACGGGCGAGAAGATTGCCCTAACTGTCGAGCCATGCTTGCAGACCATATTTTAAGTTTCATTTTATTAATTTTTATGTTCCAAAAACAGTCTCTTGAAATTTTTCAGTTATTCCCCAAATGCAGCAATAATATATGGCGATGGCAATATGGTGGTCCAACCGTAATCATCCCATTCATGAGTCAACAGTGTGATGCTGTTGCAAAAAAGCAAATATGATTCTTGGATGCATTAACAATAGTGTGTGAGCAAGACACGATGAGTCATTATTCCGCTCTACTCTGCACTGCTCAGGCCTCATTTAGACTAGTGTGTCCAGTTCCAGGCACCACATTTCAAGAAAGATGTGGAGAAACTGGAGAAGGGCCAGAGAAGAGCAACAAGAATGATTAAAGGTCTAGAGCTCATGACCTATGAAGGAAGACTGAAAGAACTGGGTTTGTTTAGTTTGGAAAGGGGAAAACAGAGGGGACATGATACCGGTTTTCCAATATTTAAAAGGATGTCACAAGGAGGAGGGAGAAAGATTGTTTTTCTTGGCCTCTGAGGATAGGACAAGAAGCAATGGGCTTAAACTGCAGCAAGGGAGGTTTAGGCTGGACATTAGGAAAAAATTCCTAACTGTCAGGGTGGTTAAACACTGGAATAAATTGCCTAGGGAGGCTGTGGAATCTCCACCCCTGGAGATATTTAAGAGCAGGTTAGATAGACCTCTATCAGGGATGGTCTAGATGGTACTGTTTCCTGCCGTGAGGGCAGGGGACTGGACTCGATGTCCTCTCAAGATCCCTTCCAGTTCTAGTGTTCTATGATTCATATTTCCTCTTTCTTTTAAAAGACACATGGAAAAGGAAAAAGAAGGGTTTGTGTCTTCTTTCAAATTTAAAGACCTCAAATTTTTGTGTAGGTGGTTTTAAACTGGTTTTTCTTCTCACTCTTACTTTCAGAATAAAATACCACCACCTAGTACTTTAACTATTTTTGCTGAAAGCTTCCTATTAGCATACTTAAGTGGGAGCTCTCTCAACCTTCAGTTAAAGGGCAAGAAGCATTTTATTTTTCACAAAAAGATGCTTTCTCTTAGTTGTGCATTGAAATGTGACCTAAATATGTTTCTTAAATAATTATACATAAATAATAATTTTAAGACGTCTGACTAAAAATCCCTTCTTGTCTCTTGGTACTTGTGATGTGACAGTCCTAATTCTCCAGCATTCCATGCAGTCTTACAGGAAAGATGGTGCAGAGTAGAATTTCTAACTTGAAAAATATGAACTTTTCGGAAAAAAAAATTTTTTTTCAAACCTTTATTCATCATAAAGAAGCTAAACTAGGCAAAACGTTTTTTACCTTTGGCAGGTCATCTTTAAAGAGACTGTCTTAGTCAAAGTGCAGTTCCATTATGAAGAGTGACTTTAAAAATGGTGTAATGGGATTCCAGGTTTAGTGTTCCAGATCGACTTTATGATACCAAACAGTTTAAGACCAACTACAACTTTCTGAACCAGTTACATCCCTATATGCAAGAGACTAGTTGATTACCTGATAAGCATTTACTTAATATGATAGTCAAGCAAGAGTCGCCCATGGCTGTTGTACATTTCAAGGGGAGAAGTGTAGGTTCCTGGTTGCCCTCTTCCTTTGAAATGCACAAGAGCTGCAGGAGATTCTTAATACATTTCAAAGAGAGAGGCATAGCAGAATAGCAAGCTCCTCCTTTATCAACTAATCAAGTAGTTGATGGAAATTCCATTGACTACTAGATTAGTTGATTAATTGAAATTTAACATCCTTAGTTGCAGCCAAGTTCCCTTCTTAGAAGCAAACACTGCTTCCACCCTCCTGATTTGAACATTAGAACCATTTGAGCTCCCAAATAGGTAACAGAGGCTTCATCTATACAAATAAAGAGGAACAATTTTCGAACAGATGTCTATAAAACATTGTTAATAGCACCTTCTGAGTGACATACACAAGTAATAACTTTTTTAAATCCAAGGGAATTGGCATGGTATAACAACAAAATAATATAATTGCATCCTTTGACAAGGGAATGCCTATGCGCCATTCCTCACCTGCCCCTTGACTTTTTCTCCATTTTTTCCTCCAATCTTGGGTCCTTTACAATCAACTTCACTGCTCTGTCTGCAATGGAATCTCATATGTTAGCAGTCAAACACCTTTGGATAATATATAAGAATTATTTTGAGTTACTTTGATGAATCAGTGGTGCTCACATGACATGTACATTTTGTATAATTTCTTAGGTGCACCACAGCCACTTCTTGTACAAACTCCCAATAATAAAATAGTATACAAAATTTCTATATGTTCTACCGGTCAGAATGATGGACTGCAGAACAGTCATGACACACTGATTTTATCAAGCTGATTTCAATAGACCTAGTTAAATAAGTGTCTATATCACTGTAGTCCTTTTGGTGCTGCTGGGCGCCATGCGCCCAGGGGCCACGCAGGCGCCGCGCGCCGAGGGGCGGGGGCCGCGCATGC